TAAAGGGGCGGGTTGATTGACAGGTCAGGAAAAATGGGTGGGGCTTAAAGAGTTTAAAGGGGCGGGGCTTAAGGGAAAATGGGGCGTGGCTTACCCAGGCAGATTGCAAAGGCCCGAGCCACGAGTGGGCGTGGCCAAGCCGGGTCCAAGATGGCGGCAAGCTCCGCCCCTTCCGGAAGTTGGGCGTGGTCAAGGATCAGCCTGGGGTGGGGGAGGGGGGAAATTAATTCATTAAGAAATTAATTAGGAATTTTAATTGGGAATTTTTAATTGGGAATTTTCGAGTTTTTTGTGGATTTTAAAAGAATTTTTTGGGGAAAAAATTCAGAAATTTAAAAAAAAGGGAAAAAATGGGAAAAATTTGGGAAAAATCAGGAAAAAATCAGGAAAAATTGTGGAAAAATGATGAAAAAAATCAAGAAAAAATTTAATAAAAGTTGGAAAAAAACAGGAAAAAAATGGGAAAAAATTGGGAAATAAAATCTGGGAAAAATTTATTAAAAAAAAGGAAAAAAAAGAGAAAAAAATCAGGAAAAATTCAGGAAAAATTGTGGAAAAATCGAGAAAAAATTTAAAATATTTGGAAAAAAACAGGGAAAAAATGTGAAAATATGAGGGAAAAAATCTGGGAAAAATTTATAAAAAAAAGGAAAAGAAAGAGAAAAAAATGAGGAAAAATTGTGAAAAAATTTATGAAAAAAATCGAGAAAAAATTTTAAAGAATTTGGAAAAAAACAGGAAAAAAAGGAAAAAATTGGGAAAAAAAATCTGGTCAAAATTTATTAAAAAAAAGGGGATAAAAATAGAAAAAAATCAGGAAAAATAAAGAAAAAAATCAAGAAAAAATTTTAAAAACAGGAAAAAAATAGGAAAAAATTAGGAAAAAATTTGGCAAAAATGTATAAAAAAAAGGGGAAAAAAGAGAAAAAAGATCAGGAAAAATTGTGGAAAAATGAAGAAAAAATTTAAGAAAATTTGAAAAAAACAGGAAAAAATTGGGAAAAAATCTGGGAAAAAATTATAAAAAAAAAGGGAAAAAGAGAGAAAAAAATCTGGAAAAATTGTTGAAAAAATCAAGAAAAAATTTTAAGAATTTGGAAAAAAACAGGGAAAAAATGGGGAAAAATCTGGGAAAAAATCTGGTAAAAATTATAAAAAAAAGGAAAAAAAAGAGAAAAAAATCAGGAAAAATTCAGGAAAAATTTATGAAAAAAATCGAGAACAAATTTTAAAAAATTTGGAAAAAAAACAGGAAAAAAATGGGAAAAAATTGTGGTGAAAAAATCTGGGAAAAAATTATAAAAAAAAGGAAAAAAAGAGAACAAAATCAGGAAAAATTGTGGAAAAATTGTGGAAAAAATCGAGAAAAAATTTTAAAAATTTGGAAAAAAATAGGGAAAAAATGGGAAAAAATTGGGAAATAAAATCTGGTAAAAATTTATTAAGAAGAGGAAAAAGAAGAAAAAAAAAATCAGGAAGAATTCGGAAAAAAACCCCAAAAATTTGTTAAAAATTAAAATAAAAGAATCACAAAAGGAATCAAGAAAAAATATTAAAAAATCAGAAAAAAAATATGGAAAAAATCAGAAAAAACTGGGAAAAAATCAGGAACAAAAAATGTGGAAAAAGATTTATTAAAAAAGAGAAAAAAATAAGGAAAAATTCAGAAATAAAAATGAAAAAAATCAGAAAAAAAATTTTAAAAAAAAGGGAAATTTCAGGAAAAATTGAGGAAAAACAAAAAATAAAATCAGGAAAAATTCCATAAAAAATCAGGAGTAAAAAATTCACCAAAAAGATTTTAAAAAGTCAAAAATTCCTTTAAAATTAAAATTTAAAATTAATTTTTTTTTGGAATTTAAAAAAATTTTAAAAAGTCAATTCCACCAAAATTCCCCAAAAAAATTAAAAAAGTCGAAAAAATTCCTTTAAAATCCCCCCAAAAACTTAAAAATTCCCCCAAAAAATCCCTCAAAAATCCCCAAAAATCTCCAAAAATTCCCAAAAAAATCCCCAAAAAATCCCAAGAAATTCCCCCCAAAAATTCCAAAAAATTCCCAAAATATCTTCAAAAAATCAAAAAAAAATTCCCAAAAAATCCTCAAAAAATCCCAAAAAGATCCCAAAAAAATCCCAAAAATTCCACCAAAAAATCCCCAAAAAATCTTGAAAAATTCCCCAAAAATTCCCCAAAAAATCCAAACAAAATCCCCAAAAAATGTCCAAAAATTCCCAAAAAAATCCCCAAAAATCTCAAAAATTCCCAAAAATTTGAATTCCCAAAAAAATTCCTTCAAAATTCCCAAAAAATTCCCTCAAAATTCCCCAAAAATCTTTAAAAATCCCTCAAAAAAAATTTCTTTAAAATCCTATAAATTTTATAAATTTATTAAAAAATTCCCAAAATCCCCCAAAATTCCCGAAATTCCCGAAATTTTCCCCCCAAAATTCCCGATTTTTCCCCCTTTCCGGTCCCCACCTGCGGACGTCGATCGCCGGCGCTTCCGGAACTTCCGGGAGAGCCTCGGGGGGCGGAGCCGGAAGTGGTGGGATGCTGGAAGGATGACGTCATCGAGCAAGCCACGCCTCCCTCAACAAACCCCGCCCACCGCCATCACTTCCGGTTTAAACCCGGGGTTATTCTGGCATAGGCACGCCCACTTCCGGTTTAGGCCACGCCCACTTCCGGTTTTAATTCTTACGTTTTCAAGTTTTCTTGATTTTTGTTTGAATTCGGATTTTTTAATTGAAAATTTTTAATTAGAAACCTTCAGGTTTTTAGAATTTTTATAATTAATTTATTTTAATTTAATAATTAAATAATTGTTAATTAATAATATTCATATTAAAAACAATAATAATATTAGTGATATTAACAATATTAATAATAAAAAAATTATTTAATAAATATTCATTAAATAACAATATTTAACTATTAACTATTTATTAATTAAATATTAATTAATATATTATTTAACATTTAATTATTTTTAATAACTAACAAATTATTTAATAGTTTAATAATTTAACCATTCTATTTTATTTATTTAAATAAAATAATAAAAATTTAAATAATTTAATGTAAATAAATGATTTAAATAAAAATTTAATAAATTTTAATAATTTTATGGTTTAATTTAATTGAAATTGAATGCAATTTTTAAATTATTCTATATTATTATATTATTTTATATATTTTTTAAACTTAATTCTTCAAATTTTTAATTAATTTCTTTTAATATCCAATTGTTTTAATTTTATTCAATTCTAATTTTTAATTTCACGTTTTTTCAATTTTTTCCCTTTTTTACGTTTTTTAACTTCTCAATTTAAATGCTTGAAACCTTTTAATGAATAAAATCAAATTGAATTAATTAAACCTAATTAAATTTAATCAATTTTCGGGAAATTTGAATATTCAAACATTTAATTTTTTTATTTTAAACTTTCCAATTTTTAGATTTTTTTTAATTCCGGAGTTTTTAGCGGTTTTGAATAATCTTGAATATTTAATCAGCTCATTTAAATATTTTAATCCAAATTTTCGAATTATTTTCCTATTTTTAATTATTTTTCCAATTAATTTTTTGCCATTTCCGGTCTAAGCCCCGCCCACTTCCGGCCCAAACCCCGCCCACTTCCGCCGCCATTTTGTTCCGCCCAATTTTTCCTTTTTTTCCCCCAAAATTCCCCAGAAAATTCCAGAAATTTCCCCCAAATCCCAAAGATTTCCCCCATTTCCGGTCTGGCCTCGCACTTCCGGTTTTAGCCCCGCCCACTTCCGGTTTTAGCCCCGCCCCCACCTTGGCTCCTCCTCCAGCGGCTCCAGCGAAAGCTCTGGGGGGGGGGAGGGGCAAAATCAGCTCCGAAATTCCCAAAATTCCACAAAAAAACCCAAAAATTCCCAAATTTTACCAAAATTCCCCAAAATTTTCGTTTTTCGCCCAAATTTTCCCAAAATCTCCCAAAAATTCCCAATTTTTACCCCAAATTTCCCCCAAAAATTCCCAAAAAAATCCCAAAATTCCAAATTTTCCCCAAATTCCCCAAATCTTCCCCCAAAAATTCCGAGTTTTTCCCAAAATTTCGATTTTTCTCCCCAATTTTTACCAAATTCTCCCAAAAATCAAAAAAAATCCCCAAAATTAAAAAAAAATCAAAGAAATTCCAAAAATTCCCCCGAAAAATTTCCAAAATTCCCCCAAAATTCTCAGAAAATTCCCAAAAAATTCCCAAAAAATTCCAAAAAAAATTAAAAAAAAAATCCAGAAAATTCAAAAAAAATCCCAAAAAAACCTCAGGAATTCCCAAAAAAAATTCCAAAAAAATCCCCCCAAAATTCCTCTAAAAATCAAAAAAATTCCCAACATTCTCCCCCAAAATTCCCCAAACTTTCCCAAAAAATTCCCAAAAAAATAAAAATTTCTTAAAAATTTCAAAAAAAAATCCCCAAAAATTCCCAAAATTCCAAAAAAATTCCAAAAAAATTTAAAAAAATCCCAGAAATTCCAAAATAATTCCCTAAAATCCAAAAAAAAAAATCCCAAAAAAATCCCCAAAATTTCCCCAGAAATCCCAAAAAATTCCCCTCAAAAATTCCCTAAAATTCCCCAAACTTTCAAAAGAGAATTCCCAAAAAAACCCCAAAAATTCCTCAAAACCCCAAAAAAATAAAATAAAATTTCTTAAAAATTCCCCAAAAAATTCACAAAAATTCACAAAAAAAATTCCCCCAAAATTCCCAAAAAATCCCCAAAAAATAAAAAAAAATTCCCAAAAAATTCCCAAAAATTTCCCCAAAAATCCCAAAAAATTCTCCTCGAAAATTCCCAAAAATTCCCCAAAATTTTTCCCAAAAAAATCCAAAAGAATTCTTAAAAATTCCGAAAATTCCCCAAAAAATCCCAAAAATTCCCCAAAATTTCCCAAAAAAAAAAAAATTTCTTAAAAATTCCCCAAAAATTCCCAAAAAACAAAAAAAAATCCCAAAAAATCCCCAAAAGTTCCCCCAAAATTCCCCAAAAAATTCCCCTAAAAATCCCCCAAAAAATAAAAAAAAATTTCTTAAAAATTCCCAAAAAAAGTTCCCAAAAATCCAAAAAAATCCAAAAAAATTCCCCCAAAATTCTCAGAAAATTCCAAAAAAATTCCCAAAAATTCCCCAAAATTTCCCCCCAAAAAATTCCAAAAAAATTCTTAAAAATTCCCAAAATTCCCCAAAATTCAATAAAAAATTCCCCTCGAAAATTCCCAAAAATTCCCCAAAAAATTCCCAAAAAAATCCCAAAAAAATCCAAAAAAATCCCCAAAAAAATTCCAAAAAAGTCCCCAAAAAGTTCCCCCAATATCCCAAAAAATTCCCCAAAAATTAAAAAAAAATCCCCCAAAAATCTCCAAAAATTTCCCCAAAATTTCCCCAAAAAATTCCCCAAAAAATTCCCCAAAATTCCCCAAAAAAGTTCCAAAAAAAATTCTTAAAAATTCCCAAAATTCCAAAAAATTTCCCAAAAAACAAAAAAAAAATTCTCAAAAAATCCCCAAAAAAATAACATAAAATTTCTTAAAAATTTCCAAAAAAAATTCCCAAAAATCCAAAAAAATCCCAAAAAATTCCCCCCAAAAATTCCCCAAATTTTCCCCCCAAAAAATGCAAAAAAAATTCTTAAAAATTCCCCAAAAAATTCCCAAAAAATCCCCAAAAAATTCCCAAAAAATTCCCAAAAAATTCCAAAAAACCCCAAAAATTCCCCCCAAAAATTCTTAAAAATTCTCAAAATTCCCCAAAAATTCCCAAAAAATTCCCAAAAAAACAAAAAAAAAATCCCCCCAAAATCCCCAAAAGTTCCCCCAAAAATTCCCAAAAAATTCTCAAAAATTCCAAAAAAAATCCCAAAAAAATTCCCAAAAAAATCCAAAAATTCCCCCCAAAAATTCCCCAAAATTCCCCCAAAAAATTCCAAGAAAAATTCTTAAAAATTCCCAAAATCCCAAAAAAAATCCCCAAAAAATCCCCAAAAAATCCCCAAAAAATTCCCAAAAAAATTCCCCTAAAAAATTCCCAAAATTCCCAAAAAATTCCCAAAAAAATTCCCAAAAAACCAAAAAAAAAATCCCAAAAAATCCCAAAAATTCCCCAAAATTTCCCAAAAAAATAAAATAAAATTTCTTAAAAATTCCCAAAAAAATTCCCCTAAAAAATTCCCAAAATTCCCAAAAAATTCCCAAAAAAATTCCAAAAAACCAAAAAAAAAAATCCCAAAAAATCCCCAAAAATTTTCCCCCAAAAATTCTTAATAATTCTCAAAATTCCCAAAAAAACCCCAAAAATTCCCCCAAAAAATTCTTAAAAATTCTCAAAATTTCCCAAGAATTCCCAAAAAATTCCGAAAAAAACAAAAAAAAATTCCCCCCAAAATCCCCAAAAGTTCCCCCCAAAATTCCCAAAAAATTCTCAAAAATTCCAAAAAAAACCCCAAAAAAATTCCCCAAAAAAATCCAAAAATTCCCCCCAAAAAATTCCCCAAAATTCCCCAAAAAATTCCCCAAAATTCCCCAAAAAAATTCCAAAAAAATTCTTAAAAATTCCCAAAATTCCAAAAAAAAATCCCCAAAAAATCCCCAAAAAATCCCAAAAAATTCCCAAAAAACCAAAAAAAAAATCCCAAAAAATCCCAAAAATTCCCCAAAAAATTCCCAAAAAATCCCAAAATTCCCCAAATTCCCAGAATTTCCCCAAAATTCCCAATTTTTCCCCAAAATTCCCGATTTTCCCCCGGAATTCCCGATTTTCTCACCGGAGCTGGGGGGGGGCAGGCTCGGCTCCAGCGCCTCCCGCAGAACCTGGGGGAGAAATTTGGGGCAAAATCCGGGGATTTTGGGCAAAAAAAAATGGGAATTTGGGGGAATTTGGGAATTTTGGGGGTAAAATTGGGAATTTTAGGTCAAAATTTGGGATTTTTTGGGGGTAAATTGGGAAAAAATGGGAATTTTGGGGGGAATTTTGGGAATTTTGGGGAGAAAATTGGGAATTTTGGGTGAAATTGGGGAAAAAAATGGAAATTTTGGGCCAAAATTTGGGATTTTTGGGGTGAAATTGGGGAAAATAGGAATTTTGGGGGGAATTTTGGGAATTATGAAGGAAATTTTGGGATTTCTGGGGAAAATTTGGGAATTTTGGGTGAAATTTTGGGATTTTTGGGGTAAAATTGGGAAAAAAATCGGAATTTTGGGGAAATTTGGGAATTTTGGGGGAAAATTTTGAATTTTAGGACCAAATTTGGGATTTTTTTGGGTGAAATTGGGGAAAGTGAGAATTTTTGGGGGAATTTTGGGATTTTTGGGGTAAAATTGGGAAAAAAAATTGGAAATTTGGGGATTTTTGGAGAAATTTTGGCATTTTTTGGGTGAAATTGGGGAAAAATGGGAATTTTTGGGGGAAATTTTGGGAATTTTGAAGGAAATTTGGGGATTTGTGGGGAAAATTTGGGAATTTTGTGT